AGAAAACTCTGTGTGGTAGCCTGACTGCTGAAGCAGAAATTATGTCAAACTAGGCATTTCTTACAAGAAGCCTGTACAAGTGCATCATTACTTTCTGTATGAAGAAAATATTAATAATGTGTCGCCAAAACACAAGGATTGCCAAAACTCTCACACATCACATTATAGCTTACATCAGCTCTAAATCATAGATTTAGAGTATAGCACCATATAATGAATACTGGTCTCCTGTGCTGAACAATCTAATGGAGATGCATAATCACAAAACTGTCTTGTTACTGCAGTCCCTTCACTGTGCCTCCTACTGGCACACAAACACCTGCAGAGTCAGAGAACGAAGGATTTTGTAAAGACTGTGTGCAGATCCAGGAGCCCCCAACACAGCATATCCCCCAAGCTTAGCACAAATCTGGTAATAACAGCCTGTGTCTGAAACGAGGTTTTCAGATTTCACAGATTAAAGCTGCCAGTTTGCAGAGCACGCAAGCCTGCTCTGTCAATGACTGTTTAAACAGGCGTCAGATGGGTTCAGTTAAGACTAATATGAATGACTATCTCACCTGTAACACAGGTTATGTCACGCCTGTCAGCTAACCTGTAACTGAGGAGGGAATTCATCTAATCATACAACCAACAGTAAAATCTTTCCAAATCAGATTCAAACAACCACGGAATGTGCGCTAAACTGACCAAGTGGAACGTCTCACTTGTTGCTGTTGTTGTTCAGAGAGCCTTTCCAATACTCGTGAAATGATTAAGTGATTGACAGAACAATTATGATATAAATCATAGATAAAAATGTCAAACATTTGCTCGTTCCATCATCTCAAATGTGAGGATTTGCTGATTTCTCTGTTTTACACCATCGTAAACGGAATCTCTTTGGGTTTTGGGCTGTTTGTCGAACAAAACAAGCAATATGAAGACAACATTTTAGGCTCTGGCACATAGGGAAAGGCCCTATTTTCTTACATTTTATAGACTAAACAACTTGAACAAAAAGTGAAAGAAATAAACACTTACTGCTGGTGAATTTATTTATTTTTTGGTTTACACAACCTTCATCAGACTGAAATGTTGTAAATAAATGCATCCCTCCAACGCACCTGTCATCCATTCAGACGTGAAGAGATTCTTTGAGTTAAAGCCTCCTCCAGTCGTTTTTAACTGCCGTTTTTGGTTAACGTTCTTTCTCAGAGAATGGGGGTGTGGTTAATAGTCGGACGTAATACATTACCATGACAACCAAAAACTGACCGGCAGGAGTGTTCACTAACGATATGCTGTGTTAACATCACTACACTGTACAGTTTAGTACACTTTACTGTCTGGAAGGAGTAGCTATTACTTACCCATGATAGAAACTACTTTACCGCAGGGGTGTGGGGGGTCTATTACTCTGTTGAACTGTATGTAAAGACTTCTGATACCGTTGCCTCCGCTGATGCATTGGTAAAACGGCAGTAAAATGCATGTTGCATACTGTATTTAAGACGGTTGCAGGTGAAAGTGCGACGGGTTTTCTGTCATCTGTCCTCCAACACCGCATGCACAGATGCCATAATGAAAACGAACAGCACACTAAACCAAGAGGAGGAAACTAAAAAATTAAATGAATGATGATGACCCTCTGTTAGCTAACTTTCTGCAATATCTATGCTAGCTAACTACACCTGGCTAACTACAACTTAGTTAACTTAGCTAACTAAACTAGAGAGACAAAACAACAATCAGACACAGAGACATACCTACTGTAAGTTCTAAGTAAATGACATGATAAATTGGTTAACTAGCTCACAACGATGTTTATCAGTTTGATGCTCTGACTAAACGAGCCGTGACAGTTTTTTTAACAAGGCATGACAGTGCGCCTGCGCAAGCTTGGAGAATGACGTATGACTTATGGAATTACTATAGTCATACGTCACCACCCCGTTTTAACAACTAAGCAACTTTTGCAACTTTGAGCACAAAATCAAACTATTTGTGAAAAAATATTTGGCGAACTATGTGGGTAAACGACACTGTAAGGAAATGAAATATCATAGAAATGTCAAAATTTGATAGACTAAACAATCAGTCCATTAATCAAAAAATATTATGCTGGTTGATGAATTCATTTAGTTGCAGCTCTAAAATAAATTAGGATTGGCATGACGATATATGAGACAGCATAAATCTGTCAGTTATCTGACATTTTGCTACACCACGGTATCTAAACTCAGTTGCTAGTTTTTAGGCACACATGTGTTATACTGTGTGTGTTGTTAATATAATCTCCACCCCATGTATATCAATAAGGCTAAGCTAAATATTAAACCCCTGTCAGTATAATGAAACTATCACAACTAACTAATAAACTATAACTGAAATTTGAACACTACAACAATAAGACTGATTGCAGAACTGTTGTATCAGACTGCATTTGGTTTTAGCTAGGTGTACCTAATAAACTGCCAACAGAATATTTAAAGCTGCTCTGACAAACCGATTGTGCACCGCTTGCCCAGCACCAAACGACAGACAAACAAAATTAGCAACTAGCACACACCCAGAGAAAAAGTAAACCAAACAAAACCCACTAGGGCAAGGTAATGACAAGAAGGAGGGATGAGATGAGTACACCATCCACGGCGCTAAGGATCAAAAACAGAGCTTTGAATCTTCTTCTGTTTGTTCTTTTGTTAACAGGTGATCAGTGTCTAGCCTGTAGCAGACCACTGCGTCTGTTTCGCCTCTGGCTCTGCTCTCCAATTGTTGCTTCAGCAATCTGAAACTGGTGCCAAGATAAGCTCATGGCAAATCTTGTTGTACCTCTTGGCTTTCACAGTCTTGTGCAGCAATAAACCAACGTCTGCCATGGAAGCTTACAGATTAATCACAGCATTTTGAGCAAAATAACACGTACTGAATGATTTAGTAAAAACTCTGCTAAACAACTGGCTTAAACCAACAGATCCTGAGTAAGACGCAGGTAATTATGACATACAGAGGTGACAGATAAAGCAGGTGCTCAGGTCACCATAGAGACAACAGCAGGGAAACATGGAGGGAATGCAAACATGGTTACATGGCAGTGGGGAAAAGTGTTTGCCCAGGGGCCCAGAGACACAGCATGCTTCATTAGAATACATTTAATACCTGCAAAACACTACTTATACGCATGTACACGGATCACATTACAGACTCTCGCAAAACACAACACAGGAGCCATTGAGCAATGTTCATAAATCCCCAAAACAACATTTATCAAGACAACATCTGTGTTTGTGTTGTTATTTTAGCCATGAATCCCTTTTTTTTTTTAAGCAGAAGCGGTGTGTTAGTTAGGTTTTTCCTTATAAATCACTTTATAGCTGAGTCCTGGGTTGTAACTGGGGTGGGAGTTTGGGGCATGACATAAGAGAAAGGCATGCAAATAAGGACACTTTTGTTAAGCTTTTTATTTTTTAACCGTTTTTCATTGCAGACTAAAATTTAATTTATAAGACAAGGACAGATTTTCAGGCAATAAAGACCCCTTGAGTTGACCCAAGTTGGCAGCAACTATTCAGCCCCTCCCTGCTCCCACAGAAATAAATCAAGCCCCCCCAACATCTTCCTCCTCAGGATGACGTCAGAGAATTGAGTTTTCCATGTTACTTTCGGCTTCCACAGCAACCGGGAATGACACCGCCCTCCCCCCATGACCTGACCCGGGGAGAAACTTTTTTTTTTCCACGGGGGTATTGTTCCCAACACTTGAATGGATTGCCCTCTAATTCATCTCAGCATGTATAATAGTGTACAAAAGCCAAGGAAGCCAGGGTCTGAGGTGCAGAACAAAATAAACAGGACAGGAGGTATAAAGCCATACATGTTGAATAAAAGGGTTGGGGATGGGGAAGTAAGCTCTGTAAGTGAATCCACAACAAACACTAAACACCGCTTTTTAAAATAAAAATGGCCATCAAATATAACAGTATTTGTGGTAGCAACCAAAATCTCTCTGTAGCACCACAGAGTATGAAAAACTGTAAAGTGCTTTAAACAGTTTTATTTCTTGTATGGCTGGCTGTGAATAGACTGAATAGAATGAATTTTGGCTACTTTTGTTAAATAAAACAATGATTTTCTAGGAAAACATAAGTATTGGGCAAAGTAGTAGTGTTGTAGTAGTGTCGAAAAACGGAAACATAAAGTAATTGCCCAAATGGAAACTTTTAAACTGTATCCAGCCCAAATACAATATCTGTGGATCATAAAGTAGGTAAGCTACCAATTAAGCAAAACCACAGGCTTCAGTCATTTACAAAAACAGACTCATAATTTAAAGCGACAAATATATGTGTATGAAAGAACTTTACTCCAATGTGAAATAACTATTACTCTAATTACCATATAACTACTGTGCCTATAAAAAGTGTATTTGTATTGGGGGTCTCATGTTGCCTACTGTCAAAAAAAAGCCACATTAAAGGTTTGATTCAATGTTGTAAAACAATAAAACATGAAAATGTTCATGTCTACTACTCTTTTTACAGTACAATGTAGTACCTTGAATGAAAAGGAAAATATTTTTTACACCCATTTTACACCTTTGGGTGCAAAAATCTTTAATCAATTGTGTAATAAGTTCCATTTTGAGCTCTCTAGTAGCAATATTTAACGGATAAAATGAAGTTCTTGCATCAAATATTAGATACTGAAAACAAGCTAATGTTTCCTTGGTGTTTGCATTGCCAATATGCAACAGAGCAACAGATTCTGGCCTCAAACTACAGAAAATCTTCATAAATAATGATGTCATTTTGGACCTAAACTGCACTGAAGGACACCTTCTGTTGTCACCAGTAAACGAAACAGTAGTAGGAAGGTTAAATGCTCCTGCTTTGTTAAAATGGACATGCAGACTCCACTCCGCGCGGTACGATGACTTTTCACAGCAGAGTTCCAGTAGCTCGTTACATACCTCACATCCACACACAAATGATGCGGCGGTACCGTCCCGCTTGACTTACCGGAGGGATGACGGGGCTCGTCGGGACACGTAATGCGCTCCTACACCGTTGGAGTTAGTGGTAGATACTTTTCAAAGGAGAAAATCTGTGTTGCGTTTTAGGTTATCAGCCGGTCAGGGGAGCTGCTGGTGTCCTGGCTGAGCTGCAGCACAAACAGTGCAGAGACCATAGCCAGAGAGACACACCAGCAGCAGCAGCAGCAGCAGCAGCAGCAGCAGCAGACGGCAGCTTCCTCGTACGTGATTGGGCCAGGTGGAACAGGCGCGTTCCCTCGTCCCTCGGCGGGAGCGCGCCACACGCAGCTTGTGACAGCTGGTGCAATCACAAGGCTGCAACCAGTGCTGGGGGCTGAGGTGGGTTACTGTAGCTAGCTACATTTCATCAGGTTTGAGCAGTGGTGGAAAGTAACTTGGGTATATTTAAACGAGTACTGTAATTAAGTACAAACGGCCTTTCTGTGTGGAGTTTGCATGATCTCCCCCTTGTCTGCCTCCCACCGTCCAAAGACATGCGGACTAGGTTGATTGGTGACCCTAAATTGTCCTTAGGTGAGAGCGTGAGTGGTTGTTTGTCTATGTGTGGCCCTGCGATGAACTGGCGACCTGTCCAGGTTGTACCCCGCCTTGCACCCGATGCCAGCTGGGATTGGCTCCAGCCCCCCCGCGACCCTGTACGCAGGATAAGCGGTTGACGGTGGAGTAGTCGACATTTTAATGATAACTTTTAATGGTACTTTTGCTTAAGTGAAATTATTAAGGCACACTTTAACTTGTATACGTTAGCACTGTGGTAATGTTATTTTACTTCTGAGTACTTCTTTCACCACTGGTTTTGAGATGCTAGCAGCTGTTTAGCTTACATTAGCTTAAATTTTAACTTTTAGCTACTCCATTACATTTCTGAGGGAAGTATCAGTCTTTTACCATCATATTTATCTGACTGCTAGGCCTATACTGTATAGGATATAGATTTCCCCCCCAAAATTTGTTTTGGAGTTTGATCCAGTTGAAAACATTTCTGTAATTTCCTGCCTTAATTTCTTACCATAGCCATTCTTTCTTTATATTTTTCTTATGTCTGTCCTTCTTTCATTTCGTTTTTCCAATTATGTTTATCCTTTCTGCTGTCCTTCCTTCCTTCGCCGTTTTGACAACATGAAAGTCCCAAAAAGTGATACTTGTGAACTGAAAATCTACTTTGAATTTGGATACTTGAGTACGTTTTACTGCTAATAGTCACTTTTAAGAAAAATGTGAATGCAAGACCTTTACCTTTAACTCCGTATTTTTATGGTATTAATATATTGCCGCTTGTTACTTTATTACCTTAACACTTCTTCCAAAACTGGGTCATAATAAGTGTGGAGGCACTGATAAGACCTCACATGGAAAATGTTCACTAAAGCCCATACTGTTTGCATGTTTGCCCAGTCTCATAAATCTTAAGTTATACAGAATTTCTAGTCTGCTTAGAACCTGCTAATTCTGTAGTTCAATACATTTCATTAAACTAGATACATGTAAACATATACAATAAATCAGGGAATTAAACATGAACATGCGTTTACACAAACACAATGAACAAGACTAAAATACAAAACATATTAAAAAGTACAACAGACCTTTTCTATCCACTCACTCACTTCACACAACTAGGTATACAGTGTTCAAGACAAAATCAAAGACAAACAATTGGATGAGCATACTTTCCTCCAGTTGTCTTTTGAAAGCATTTGCACATCCTGAAAAGTAGAAAGTTTTCATTTAGTAATAGAGGTGGTTCCTTTTTTGTTAAATATTTTCAACTATTAACATTTGAGTATAATTTCTCTTGTGTTTTTTTAAATTGCCTTAGGGTTTCTCAGTTTTTAATTCTTTTAAAATAATTTCGTGAACGGGAGACACCCACAGTGACAAACTGAGCTACACCAAGTCTGACCCTAGCATCTTATACCTGCATTTTTCCATTCGTTTCCACTGAAAAAACATTGAGCTGCTGCTGTAAGTATGCTTTAATCAAATCTATTTATTAATTTGAAGAGCCACAGAGATGAAACGCATCACTCAGGCTGTCATCAACATCCTCAAAGCTTTTCTGGGGATTAACCAGATTCTGTCTAATGTATAGCTATGGGTGTGGTGGGTTTGTGATAATGAAAACCTAAAAGGGGAGTCTAAAAGCACCTGGACTTGTGTAAACATAAGTCAATTTGAATCGACATGTCAACAGCATATAAACCGCTGCTGTCTATCTGGAAAGGAAAAGGTTGATAAAAACACAGGATGAATGCAGAACAGGTTTACTTGAAATGTAATTGTAATTCTCATAGGACATATCTTTTCTTGTCCCCTCAGTGATATTGTCTGCATCTCTTTTGCTGTTGTGTTAGACAAATGTACTATGAGGCTTCACATTGTTTTATACGTCTTTGTTGGCCTCTGGTGGTGCCTTTTCATACAAGCTGCTACTACAAACCCTTAAAACAACAAAAAACCTCTGGAGACACTTAGAGAAAAGAAACTTTTATTTTTCCCCAAAGAGGTTACACAACATTCAGAATCCTTTCTTAACTCAACATTTGTTAATGTTTCATTATTACAAAAGGTAGAGATCCACTAGCACATACTAGTACTAGCACATCCGTCTGTAGGTCTTAAGGGAAAAAAAACCCAAAGCCAAATGGCAGCATTGGTCATAGACTACATAATCAAGGTAAAATAGAAATATATATCTATTTCAGGGAAACAACAGATTGTTGTACAAGATTCACACTCTCAATTTGCTATGGTGAGCAATAGGAAGTACAAATCAACAAAGTGGAGACACATGACAGCTGGTTATCAATACCAGCATACAATATGTCGTCTTTGAAAAATATGCTTTTTTCTAGCCTGATGAAATGAAACTGTTAGCAGCTCAGGCAAAGGATGCTGGTCTTTAAATTTTACAAAAGACAAAAAGTTTCTCAAGTTAATCGCATTTTGGTTTTCACCTTACATATTATACAATTCTTGCAAGTTTTTTTTGTAACTTGTCTCAAATGCATAAATGTGCAATATGGATAAACGTATCTGAGAACATCAAGTCTTAATATTAATTTAGACTTTCTGAAGTTAATGGAGTATTTCTTTTTAAATACAGCTATCGTTTGTGTTGTGTGGAGTGTATCAACAGGTAAAGTTGTACAGGCTCTACTGTACGTCCTCTGAGTGTGTGTGTGTGTGTGTGCATGTGTGTTTGGGTCGGTTCTCTTTCTTCAAGAGTTGGTCCCGGAAACTGGTAGTGAGTGCGCCTGTTTTTCAACAGCAAGACCAGATTTCATAGTTCGGAGGGGAAGAGAACAAATAAAGAAATCAAGGCACATTTAGTCACATAAGGCTAGTCCTTCATTTTCTGGAATTTAAAAGAATCAACACTTTAACGCATCCAGTCGTGTGTCATGAATGTAGAGTGGGGGGGGGATCGATTAAAAGTAGTATCATGTATCATATCACAACATGCAGGATTTGTTGTGAACGGCCATCAATATTATTTTTAATTATCAATTTAAAAGGCTTAAAAAGTTTAACATTTTGGTAAATACTCTTATTTGTTTTCTTGCTGACAGTTAGGTGTATTAAGTATGAGGCTACAGCCTGCAGCTGGTTAGCTTACCGTAGCCATAAAAACTGGAATGAGCTGGAAGCAACTAGCCTGGCTCTATCCTGAGGCACATAACCTCTCATAAAGCCACAACTTGATTTGTTTTTACACTTTGGTTTTTGTATTAGTGAAATTCAGAGGTGCTGGTAGTCAGAATATTTTACCTTTGGACAAAGCCAGACCAGCTCTTTTCCCCGTGTCAAGTCTTTACCATAAGCTAAGCTAAGCGGCCTTATATATACACAGATAAGAGTGGTGTTGAAGTTCTCATCTAACCCTCAGCATCCAAGCAAATAAGCGTTACCCAAAATGTCTTTACTCACTTTGAACAGTTTACATATAACAGTGGCCAGTTTGCATTCGCAAGATCTTGAAATCTGAATGCCATTTTGCCCCGTTTATCACAGCAGGTGTCAAATCATGAGAATTCATGTTCAGAGTCTCGTGAAGCTTCCCGATTACACTTTCATAAAGCATTTATCCCCCATCTCAGTCAGCTGACAAGAATAATGTGAATAATGTAATTTTGATCCCATAGCTGCCCTTACAGAGCCAACATGTACGCCGTGCTGAGATAAAACATTCATATGCTGGAATACAAAAGGCCATTTAGAGTTTCCAAATGTCTTTACTGCAGCAACTCCTGTTCAATAGATTTGTCAAACAGTACAAAAGTGCATTTCCTATTATTTGAAATAACTGCAAGATGAAAAGTATGATTTAACATCAAGAGTAAAATGGATTGTAAGAGCCCCCCCCCCCACAATTTTCTGTATTGAGTTAAAAGATTTACAATTCTGAAAGTTTGAAAGGCAGTGACAGAGCTGAAAGGAGGAGAGGGGTTCCTGTAGTTTCTGTAGAATTTGACATTTCCTGTCAAACTGAGCCACAGGGGCTTCAGAAGGAGTAATTAGTGCTCTTCCAACCAAGATGGACTGTCCCCACCTGGCATTTTCAACTTGATATGGAACTGCTTGAGTGTCTCTTCTAGCTGCTGTTGGTTTCCAGCGTAGTACGCAGCTATAGCATTGTGGAACAGGATGAGCTGGTTATGCAATACCTTCACCTGTTTGGGAGCAGGAAAAGGAAATAAAGAGACACATTAGAAGGGTAAGCCAATATGTTGTTGCAGGTATGTAGAGCAAGACTAGCCTCTGGCCCGACCTTGTTCTCTTCCAGGAACTTCAGCTTGATGGAGACGTCGTTTCTCATCCTCTCATACTTCTCGCGGTGGATCTGGAACTGCTGCTGGGACAGCTCAATCTTGGTCATGGTGGTGGCATCACGTGGCCCCAGATTTAACTCCTCCAAGTCTGTACGGTACGCATCATACTCAACCCTAGAAGTGTTATTTAAACAACATCAGAAATATGTAGTGTGTGTATACACGTAATTTTTTGAGCTTTGACAGTAAATAACAGCAAATAATCGAAGCTTCGACTGTGTCACGTGCGAAGGAGGAATATTTAATGCGATGTTGACGTGATCGGAAACTGAGCCAGGGAAGAGCGAGGCAGAGTGGAAGACTAGATGCTGCAGAGCCAGTGGAAGACTAGATGGCTGCAGTGCAGAGCAGGAGGGAACTGCAGATGAGAGTCCAGAGGGTGAGAGGCTGAACTGAGCTAGAACAGACCACGGCAATATATTAAAGCGGGCCCAGGGAGCGCAGACAGGATAGGCGCTGTTTCCGGTAGCGGAAAGTAACGTGTTATTTTATAAAAATTCACTTTTAACTTTTTTTTACAGCCTAGGCTACTAAATGTTCTTAAACCCTGTAACTGCAACACTGCCACTGTCATCACTCAGTTTAAAATTTGCTCCCACAGAGCTGAGGGCTTCATTTTGTTTTCCATTTGATGTGAACTGGAGTGTTATGATCACTGCTGTGGGCGGAGGTCAGGCATTCGGGAAAAAAAAAATAGTATCCAAATCCCAAAATACATTCCAACGATTGAATATTAAAATGTTTGAATATTCGGGTCCAGCCCCGGTGTATACATTACGATATGTGCTAGAATGTTAAAAATCAACACATAATCCCTGCAAACCACATCAGTTATGTTTTTTAAAGATCTTTTTTGAATTTATTCCAGATAGTAAAGATATGAGGTTACTTTAGGTAGATATATTAAGAAATAATATTTACTTAATTAATCTGTAAAATCATATGTTATTGGGACTTAGCCACTGACAGATAACATGGAAAATGTAAGTCAAGAGTGTGAAACGTTGTCACCGTATCTGCACTACAGGTCATTATAAACCACATAATAGATGAAGTGGACCCTCGCCAAAACTGCCCGCCAGCAGATTATGGTGCTTTGATAGAAGCTCGTAGATATAGCACACAGCTCATACTCAACCGTAGTGACGGTGGTCCGTCACACTGAACAAGGCCAAATCAAATGAGTTTTCCTCCACCAGGAACCATATATATGCATTTATATGTGTGTATGTGCTTAGAATGTTTTTGTACCAGCTACATTACTCATAACTGCCTGTATGAGAGTGTTAGCTTGTGTTAGGAGTAAGTGGGCGCTCTCATCATGAAGAAACAGGAAGTTCACATTAAGTGTGTAGTAAATGTGGTCGCTATTAAAGCACTTCTCTGGTAACTTCAAACATTCCATTTTCTTCTTGTAACAAAAGCCAGAAATCACTAGTAAGACTTTTGACAATGCCTGACTCATCCATGGTTGATTTTCACATATGCATTACCTACCTGGCAAATTCATACTGTTTGATATTAAGCATGGTGTCTTCGATTGTTTTGTCCACGAGTGTATTAACACTTGAGATGAAAAAAGTGATCGCACCCAGCAGTGTCTCTCCATTTTTGGACAAAAGCTTTTGGGTGTCAGCGTTGTAGCCAAACTCCTCCTGAGGAACAGAGGAAACAAATCTTAACTATCTTTCTGAATTTTTCTTATTTGGCACTGTTCTCCACAGTGACTTAAAGAACTGCAGGTGCCAGCACCATACAGTACATTTTGCAAGCATATACACATCGGTCACAGGAGTCAAGTTTATCCAAAAGGAGACCAACTTCAACTTAAAAAATGATGTATGGTTGTAATTGCTGGTAATTATACCAGCAATTACTACCATAAATCTACAGCACAACATTAAATAATACATACATACAGTACTGTGCAAAAGTTTTAGGTTGTTAGGTAAATGCTGTAAAGTAAGCATGCTTTCAAAAATAGACATGTTAATAGATTATATTTATCATTTGTTCTTAATGCTGAAGATAATTAATGTCTTTTGCCTCACTGTTACCTGCAGACACTCCTTGTACCGCTCACCATCCCTTCGGCAAGCAACCTGCCTTTTGTTACAGCCAAATATTTCAAATTTTGACTCATCAGTCCAGAGCACCTGCTGCCATTTTCCTGCACCACAGTTCTTGTGTTTCCGTGCATGGTTGAGTTGCTTGGCATTGTTTCCATGTTGGAGGTATGGCTTTTTGACAGGAAGTCTTCCATGACAGCCACTTCTGAGCAGACTTTAGATGGGTGTACCAGGGTCCCACTGTTTTCTGCCAGTTCTGGGCTGATGGCACTGCTGGACATCTTCCGATTGCGAAGGGAAGTAAGCATGATGCGTCTATCATCTGCTGCAGTAAGATTATTTGGTCCTTAGCGTAGCCTGTTTCTTTGTACTTCTTCAGAAGAGCTTGGACAGCACATCTGGGAACTCCTGTTTGCCTTGAAATGTCTGCCTGGAAGAGATCTTGCTAAACTACCTTGTGTCTTGTTGCTGTGCTTGTGTCTTGGGGCGGCTGTGGCTCACGAGGTAGAGCGGGTTGGCCATTAATCGGAAGGTTGGCGGTTCAATCCCTGGCTCCCCGAATTGACCCTGGCGGCTGTTCCACCAGTGTTCCACCAGTGTATGAGTGTGAATGTTACTTTCCGTTTGAGCACTTAGGCTCAGTGTATGAATGTGTGTGAATGCAGATGTAGTGTAAAAGCGCTTTGAGTGGTCGAAAAGTACAAGTACAAGATGCACATTTACTCAGTCTTGCCGTGGTGTATGACATTTGACAGTATACCGTCTTCAGCAACGGCACCTTGTTAGTTGAGTTTGGCTGTTCCTCATCCAGCTGTAGTCTTCGACTTTGTGAAAGTGAACCTAAAAGGACTGATGTAGTTTTGAAAGCAAATCACACCAAATTTTGATTTGATTTAGATTTTTCTTTTGTTCATGTTAACTCACTTTGTATGTTGTTTGATTGATCAATATAATCTATTAACGTGTCTATTTTTGAAAGCATTCTTACTTTTTCCAAACTGCCTGAAACATTTCTATGATATACACCAATTTTACTGTATATTATGCAATGACTCAGCAAATATAAAATAAAAAGGCTTTGAAACATGGACCAATTTTAATAAATCCTGTAACACAATTAGAGGACTCAGAGGAAGTGGACCTAATCTTGAATTATGCATGACTCATTATTGCCTTTTAAGCCATTAACTTCCTAGTTTAGTCTTGTGATGCTTCAATAAAATAAAAATTAACAAGGGCTGTACCTAATGTCATTAATTATATTCAAAGCTTCTATTGAGGTTTTTGAATGAAGTTTCAAAGTCATCACCCTAAAAATTTATAAATAAATAAAACCTTCAACAAAATCCTCAATTTGAATAAGCTTTGAGCTATTTGGTACAGCCCTAAAATAAACTGACAATAAACAGTAATCTAATGGATGGATCTGAGTCTCAGAAAACATTTTTGCCCAGCAGATGACCCACAGGTCATCATTATTAATACATTCTGTATTATTTCATGACAATATGCTAGAACACAAAGGATGATAACACCCTTTATCCTACCCAATCTGATTGATTTCAGCATATCTATATATCTATCTATCTATGGACTCACATGGAGTTCTGGTGACTTGAGGCTCAGGTCGGCAAAGGCGTCACCCAGCTGCCTCTGCGTCTGCATCATCTGGGACAGCTGATTGGCCAGCGTCTGAGCCAGCTTGATTACATGCTGGTACTTTCTCTTATTGTCACGGAGGACTTCAATTTGAGCCTCCAGCTCCATGTCTACAGTCCTCGAGCCCCGACCCAGCTTCTCTGACAGGATCTGCCTGGTACACTGCAGAGGACAGCAGGCTTTTTAACATACACACAAAAGAGCTTATGTCCATATTTTATATTAAGAGTGACTGGTGGGAGTTTCTACAGTCCTTAGTGAAGAGAAAAGAGCAGAGAGACTTTAAATCAGACAGAGCAAAGCAAGAGAAATTTTCAATCAATTGTGTGGGTCAAAATAGTTCACTTTTCTGTCAACATCTTAGTAACTGAGAGAAGATTTGGACTAAAGGTGAAGCACAGTAGAAGAAAGACATAAAAATAAATCAAGGACAGAGAGGATTACTTTATATGTGTTGATGCTCCACTTTCTCACAAGGTCCAATTTTTCCATAGCTGGGTTCTTTAAGTCATCTGAAAGGACCACTGCTCCACTCTGTGGCTGTGGTTTCATCATGCCTAGACAATTAAAAGTCATTCACTTAGTGGCTGATTAAGTTATTGGATTTGCAGACTACAGAGAGCTGTGGTGAAAATAAGGAAGGTACAAATCAAGTGTTAAAATTATCAAACAGTGGAATGAGATTGTCATGTTAACGCTGAAACTTTAACACAGACCAAACACTGAATTTAAGGCATTAGAGGATGCTGACTCTATGGTTATTGAAATCAAAATGACCATGTAAATACAATTAGTCATGACTTACCACTTTTAAAATGCCACAGTAAAAAGTGATGAAAAGTGATTTATTGTGGTTTGGGCATAGAGGGGAAATGCTGAGCCCAGAAACTGACTAAATATAGTAAAAAATTATCAATGTCAAAAATATAACTGGATACATCAATAAATAATATTGTTAGTTAATCATTATAAGCAATTATAAAAACAACAACAACAAAAAAAGCTTTATAATTTTAGCTAATGCTAACAAAGCTAGCTAACTAAAGCTTTGTCTCCAAGTGCACGTCCCTTAATCTTTACTCTTCATCAAGGACCACGACAAAAACATCTTAAGCAGTACCAGTTAATTTGTTATAGAAACAATAAGAGTTTATACAACACTATACAGCATACAGATAATTAAAATTACTACCTCTGACCGCTGTAGTATTATGAAGAAATTTAACTTCAGTGAGGTAGCTAAAATTAGCTGAAAAGCTAGTGGTGAATGTGTTTAGCTTGTTCCAGTAGAACTGACTGGTACAAAAAAAAAAATAATTAAAGGGGTAATAGCTTTGACCTTTTTTCACCAACTGGATGTAGGTTTAAGCCAAAATATAAAATGTACATTTCTTTTGACACTCCATTTTAATTATTTAAATAAAAAAATATCTATTGATGTATTCAGTTATATTGCTGACTTGTCTGACAACCAGACAACTAACAATCCGTTTCGGGGCTCCACAGAGAAACTATGGGTGTCAACTTTTGCAAGGACAAAGGTTGCAAGCAGGAAAACCCACTGAGATTGAATGTCAAAGCAGTTTTCTTTCCAAGCAAAGCAAATGTTTTAGGCATCAAGAGGTTGCATCAGATCTAGAAGTCTTGAAATGTACATCTTTGGAAAATGACTCTAAAGAGTACATAAACGCTTATCATTAGCCACCTCAAAGCAGGAAACTACATCATTAGCCCAGACTTATGCAAAGGTAAAGTTGAGAGAGCGAGTAAACAAGAAAGGAGTAGAAGGCAGGCGTAGGTATCTGAATGCAGCACAGCCTTTGGGATCAAGGAGCAGGTGAGAGACTGGTGAAAAAACCAAAAAGGGTAAAATTGACTGTGGTTAATTTAGTGTGTAAATGGTAACGATTCAGTATCATCATACTCCATCGCTGCTGGTACCTTTCTCAGCCTGACTATCGCTGGAAGAGCGTGCCAGGCGGCTAGCAACAGCCGAGCTGGGAGCTATAGGTGCCACGGGAGTCGCGGGCAGGCTTGCTGACCCTGGGAGATATTCAGAGTTATGATTCATTAGAATGTCACTATCCCGCCTGTACGGATAATGTGTAAGTGTAAGGCGGAATATATCACTTCCTGTGTGTTGTGTTTTTTTTTTAATTAAATGCTTTACTGAACAAAGGCCTATCTCTATCAGTGTAAATGATATAGAAAAGACACATTGTGGTAAACGGTGTACAACGGATCACCCATCTATGGGGAGAGTTTCATTTGCATTTGTAACAAGTACGTGATGATGAAAAGGAAAGGAGGGTTTCAGCCTGGAGATCAGACGAAACTCATTAAAGTCAATTAGATGCCACCTTTACAAATTCAAATTTCACAGAGATTAAAAACCAAAAGTGGAGCACTGAAAATATGGAGAGAACGACTGTTTGTAAAAACTGAATGCTGCAAAGCAATTCAATAATGTAACAAGCTGACAAGGCTTGATAGGTTTTTGACAACCGGCTCCGTCACAAAACTCTGATGGGCGAGGAAACAAGCAAATGGGGAGTGAAATATTTTACCTTTGTAAGGTCCTGATTCAATGATGCCCTCTGTTGTTGAAGCAAAGTTGCTGGAGGTGACACAGGACTCTGATAGGTTTAGGCCCCCAGGGCCACTGGGGTAAGAGTCCTATGAAAAAATTCAAAGAGGGATTATATAAAACAGGTGTAAGGGCCCGTGTCCACCAAAGCGTTTTTTTCTTACACCAGCGTCTATTTTCAATTCATTGCAATGGAAGCGCCACGTTTTTCCAAGCTGGTAAAGACGGCAGCAGCGTGACGAGGCGCAGAGAGCTGAGTGCTTTTTTCCGGTCGGTGAGAGTTAAAAAATTTTCAACTTTGGCAAAAACGCCATGCTCCTCACTGTCACTTTCTCCCTGCCGTCCAATCACAGTGCAGGACTGGCGGGACAAATACGACACCGAGCACATACAGTCTTGAATGAAACAATGTGCCTACTCGCAGAGGTGTTTCCTCACCCGCAAAATCTCATGAACCCACATACGGACAGTCTGTGCTGTCATGTTTCAGCCTTCTCTTCATGCAGAGCAAGGGCCCAATCACACAGAAAGCGATTTGCATGTTCGAAAACACTTTGCTCACAGCAATGCCTTTTTTGTTTGAATTTGGAAAAGGTCAGTGCGCTGCGTTTTTTTTAACATTGCTAGGCAACCACCGAATAAGCTGTCCTGTCAGTCTAATCAAAGATTATAGCGCCAGCGATCTGTAATCTCTGGTTTGCCGCTAATTAATAACTGTCATATTAGCAGAAACTTGATCACAACTCACATGTCTGTGTCTTTTGTTGCTAAAAACATCTGCTTTAATATCTGCTCTGGCACTGTTTGAGGGCGAGAGGTGTAGCTACAAACACGCAGGAGACAGGGAAAGGGAGATCCGTGTGTAGCCTAGATGAGACCCTCAGAAAGAGGAGACACTGCTGGTAGAAGCCTACCAGTTGGTCCAGTAGCTTTGTCTTAATGATGATCGGTTTAAGGCGTAGGCTATTTTAGGATGAGTCGGGGCCAGTTTGTTGCAGTCTCCAGACAATCCAAGCAACTGTAAACTTCCGCCAGCATAACTGTTGGCCCATCTCTCCATTCATTCACGATTGGACAATGGAAAAAACGCAAATGACGTCGGGCGCTTTTCTGCCCCGAGTTGAATTTTTTTCAACTCCGTGCGCTCAGAGCGCTCCTTCAGAAACGCAAGGCGCAGCAGGCGGCCAAAACGCTAGTTTTGTGTCAACCTAATCGTGTGTATGACTTGGGAGGAACAGGTTGTCTCAGTGAGTGATTCGTTCATTGTCACACATGCGTGAAGGATCTTGGACTCTTACGTTCACTCGTCACACGGCAGCTGCATGTGTTCCATCAGCACAGGAAACAGAATTGATTAGTTCACGACTCTCAACTGTGGGTCTGTAGGTCTAGGAGTCGTTCATTTGTCACGTGACCGCTACTGTGGAGCAGGAATGAACGACTCATTCACCGCTCACATGGGTCAGCTGTCAGGTAACAGTCACTGGACTGACATTATATAGCTATTTTGTTAATTATGTGACATTTAATAAAGCATACCGTTATTACAGCACAGTGATGTTGTGCTAAGTTATAGTTTTAACACAGCCGTACCATAACTTTAGACCTGCTAGTGTTTAACATTACAGCTAACAGCTGATGAGAGTTGTTCTGGGTCCGCTCCACTTCAGAGCCCTGACAGGGTTCTACCGGGAGCCGAATTACCTCAGAGGTCGTCTCCTCTCCAAAACAAATGGACCCGGTCATTAAAACATTAAAACACAGCCACATAGCAACGTTAGCATTAGCCCTGTAAACAGCTAACAGCTGATCCAGGTCCGCTAGAGAACGCAACGTAACTTCTCCTTTTTATTTACCAACAGAGCCGTGCTTTTGTTTCACAGCTCATGACTGGTGAACAACCTGGCAGTGTTTGGGAGCGATGTGCTCATGTTTGTTTCTCTGTCTGCAGAATCCGGACCTGATGTGGCCCATTCTGCATCCAGACCTGCTAAACTGCTGCATTTATATAATGTTTTAATATTTCTTTGTTCCTCTCTCTGTGCTGGAGTTCTTTTAAGAACTTGGTCGCTTGATCCAGATTATTATTAAATTGTTTTTTTAATTTTGAGTAATTTTAATAAGAGTGTGTTTATTCATATAGTGTATCAAGCTTATTACTTCAATATATTTACTGCAAATCTGATATTGATATTTTACTTATGTATAGGGACATTATGCTACTGGATGAATGAGCACTTTAGAGATAATGATAGTAATTATATACATAAGCCTTTATATGGCTGGCCTGGTTGTATACTACTCAGGAAAGATTGTGACAATGGAAGGATTTCGGCAGAGTAGTGGACTGCATATAGACAACATATTTCTGTGGTTTTTACATGGTTTGAATTTGGTTGTGGGCCCAAGGGGGTGTATATAATGATGATAGAGAGTGATCAAGAGGTGAATTTGTGCATTATATTGTGCAGCCTTCCATGTTGGAGAACTGCGCAGTTTTTTAATCGCCCACTAGAGGGCTGCAGCGACACAATAACCAGCCTAGTTCAAATGAACGAAATGACTCGAAAAAAAGATTTGTTCATTTTAATGAACGAGATTTGAAGATTTGAGTCTGTCAAAAGAGTCGAACTTGCCATCACAACAAAACGCGAGGCGCCCAGAGCACATAAACAGCGTGCAGAACGCTCACTGACAATATAATACATTTAAAAAAAGGGCGCCTCTCATGCGTTCTGTCTGATCCGGGCCCAAGGGCCAGAGCACATAAGCCTACCCTACTTTGTGGTGACAGTTTTACATTCGGTAAAATTAAGTAGTCGCTGAGTTGCGATAGCCTATCAGTGTTGAGATTGTCCGTATGTCACCGAGGCTTCAGAGCGTTGTGTGGAGAAGGCCAGGCAGAGCGAGCGATTGAAAATCTGCAGGCCGGCTGAGAGCTGCTAAACTTGGGGGAGAGGAGCAGGGAGCAGCGCTGCAACTATTGGACAAATATCCGTATCCGGTCGGATTCTGCTCTGACAACTACGACATTTACTCGCGGGAGGAGCTCGGAGTAAACTGCTTTTATTAAATTAGCTTTAGTTTTTGGGATTTCAACGTTGATTTATCTTCACTGGAGCTTCTCAGCAGCTAGGTTCCGTGCACATCCGGTTCCAGTGTTGTTGCTAGCATCGTAAGCTCTGTCGGACTATGACTTCATATTTATATAAAAACCGGACAAAACTGGACATTGCTGGGAGAAAAGAAAGCGAGGAGGTTGAACTACCTGGTGAGTTCTGTAACTTTATTCCAGCTATCATTGTACTTTACTGTGACCAAGTTAGCATAGCATAGCCATGATCGATCCAAACTCCATTCAGAAAACAAACATTTTAGAAGTTGTTGTCATGCTGTCTTGCTGGCAGACCTGACAAAGCATGAATTCATATGTTTAACAAATCTGCATCATATTGTAGTTATTTCGGCATCAGTTTAATCCGTTTATTACTATTTAATCACAGCAAAATGTTTACTTTGGGTTCATACAGTTGTAATAATGGCGAAATTGTGTTTATTCACCTTATGCGTTAAAATCGCTTTCTCGCGTTGTGTGTGAACACTTGCAGTGAATGTACTCACACGAGGAAAGCGTCGCGAGGCGAAAATTCGCAGTAGGTCTGAATGCAGCATAAGAGGTTCCTTGCATACGGGCAGTAATGGCAGGGAACTTTCTGTATGTGGATTTGACATTTGGGATGAATGGTTGATTGTAAAAGAAGCAAAACATTTCATAACATTTATGCCACTAACCATTGAATTAAAGATAACCAATTGTGCCCCTAAAGCAGTGAACTGCAGCTATGTGGTGCGCCGTTGACAGACCTGTGTATTAGGGATGGTAAGATTCACCGATTCGCACCGGTGCTCCAGCATAAACGTTCAAGATGCGATTAACCCGATTAAAAACTTGAGCTGTATCAATTTCGAACATCTTTGCATTTATTAAAATCCAATTTATGTGTGAGTGCCTATGCCTTAATTTTTTAGAAATGTGACCTAACATTTGGTATCAAATGGATTACATCACATTAAGATGGATTCCTCCTAAAGCGTTTCTTTTATCTCCACTTCTGCCCGTGGCCTGTCAGCTACTATGGAGGCCATCTCCTTATGCTATGGGAAATCGTGAAAGACATTTTCACTGTTTATATTACGACGACAAAATTGATTGACAAATAATTTGCTAATCGATATTGAAAAGGTGAACTTACTACTATTTAACATACGCTGCCAAAGACCTAAATATGTTTGCACTGTTAAATTTCATCCTGGAGTACAACTTTTTACTGTTTTATGTCAAGCCAGTTTAATGAAAGACACAGAGATCATAACAAAGGGTAGTGTGTCAACTGAAGACCTGTTCTGTAAAAGTTTTGTTTGGTAATCCAGTAGACTTGCATTGTCTAAGGAAATTATATAGTTTTGAGAGATGCTGTTCTCAACAAGCCCTTACCCTCTGGAATACCGTCTCAGGGCCCTGATCCAGGTCTCCATTGCTCGTGACTGGGATCTCAGCAGCTGAGCTTCTATGCGACTCCTCAGCCATTGTGCCTTCCTGTAACGAGGAGTGTGAAATGAAGCAGGTTATTTGATAAAGCTTTCCCAAACAACTTCAAAGAGAGAGACAGACCTCCATCAAGAAACAAGGACTCAGGATCCACTAGTTGGACACAATAGTTGTGGGCTGCCATCTTGTGGAAATTATTGGCCTGGGCAAGGATTATATGGAATGATATACTATCATGTCACAACCGTATATCAGGATGAAGGACACTGACATATGCATAGGTGATAACAAGTTGGACATGAGCCAAAGAACACCATTTTGATGCGACGCTGGAATACCATAACCGTATTGTAACATACAATGTACAGATTAAAATGATAACACTAATTTCACAAAAATTGTTCCAACCCAGCATAGTTTTGCAATAAACATGCCTGCATTCTGGTCAGTCCACCCTTTTTTAACAATTTCTTTCATAGATTTCCAGGACAGGATGGAGAGGATCAGTGAGCTTTAAGATAGTTATGTTGCAGCATTACAGCATTTACCAGGATACCAGAAGTTATTGTGCAACAACTGCCATCAATTTTCAACACTCCCCTATTTTACAACACTGTTTCTGTTTAATTACCAAACACAGCGGGGCAGAATGGGTTACTAAGAGCATTACGCCATCTTCTTTACAGTACTGTACACGCAGTATGTGTCATGAAGGTTTAGTGTTTAATGCCTCCACCCATGAAGCTAAGGGAATCAGCCAGCTATCACTAACATCTGCTGTTCTACATGGCAATGCTTTGGACTAACAACATCTGGTTTCTCACTGCCATGGTCAGGTCAGCGTTGCCTAGCAAATACAAGACTTTCTGTTTTACAGTGACGGAAATTATTTCAGACCACATTTTGTGGTCTAACTTGGAAAATATTAAAATACAGGAACAAGCATGGAACTAAATTCTCCTTGGCCTTAATTAACAATCATGTAGAAAGACCTGATATCATCTTTATGAAAACATGTAAATCATGGTCCCTCTTAATCGTGCATGTGGATTAAAATGACACAGTTACACATTGGCTTGCTTTGCTACACGTTTACATGCTGGCTCGTAGCAAGCCACAGGGTGGAGACAACAGTTTGTGGCAACATCATTTTTGTTTAGGCTATAATGAACTGCTGCCTGTAGTTGCAGGCTGAAGATAAAGGGGTGCTATCTTTAGTACAATTTTTCTGGCTTAATCACTGAGAACTAGGACACTAAACAACACAATAGAGCTTTGCATGCAAGCTTTGTGACGTCTAACACGGTTAAGCTGGCTAATGCTGATCCGTGACACACCTGGCAAAGGGGGCAGGTACCACTAAAAACATTTATTATAAATCAATAAATAAATAAAACTGTGCATCTTTCAACAAGACCCTTCAACTATAGGTGGACCTTGACCACTGTCTAAATAATGTAAATAACTGCCAGATAACAAGATCTGGGATTCAATTTATGAGCAAAAAGAACAAGTTTAAATCATGGGTCACCAATCACCAGGTCAAATTCCCTCCAGTACTTCAGACTATGAATGAAAGAATGCTAGTGCACAAAAATGAATCAGGTAATACAGTGTAACCTGATAGCTTCTTCAAAACTTGTTTATGTCTAGTCAAGTTCATTAAGATACTAAAGAGGTGGGTCATCTATTGCAAATACATCAAGAGTGTTTCGCTGGGATCACAGTGTTATCTGATACTGTACTTGCGTTTATAAAAGTTTAAAACTGGCCTTAGAGAAGAACACTTGGTGTAAATAAGTTGATGTGAAAACCAGCAAGATTTCTGATATGCTCAACCAGAAAATTACCAAAGTGAAGCACTTTAAAATTATTTCATGCTTGTTGGCATGTGGGACAAACACTTTACTTTAATGTTGTGTCATGTGACAGACACATAAATAGTTAAAGGCCATTCGATGCCCTCTTGCAGGCAAGTAGCACAGACATGCCCTGTTAAGACTTTTCTAACCACACCTCCTGCAGATAAGAGAGAGTGATAGTCCTCTGTGATATTAAGTTTCAACAGGCTGTCTTGTAGAGACACGTCTCTGCTTTCATGCATTTGAAAAAATGGTGTAGATAAAGCTGAAATAAATACAGATTGTAACAAAGATTGTTTTTTAAATATATTCTACTGCAGCAGAACTATCGATGTAGCTTGATTTAAGAGCCTCCAGGGATGAGCAGGGGTCACAGAGCTAAAATGATCCAATCCACCATCTGCAAACATTCTGCAAAGAAGCTTGCTAATAGCTTCAGCCTACTGGAGCACCGAGAGCAGTAAAATGGCAGCAAATTAATCAGGCATATGAAGAGGAAGGTATGGCATGTCATTGTGTTGTGCAGTTCCCTACAGTTCAGTATCCTGGATACAAGTTAACATGACGTGGGAAGGAGGGAGGCATGACAACAATGAGGTAATTGTCCAATTAGCTGCATCATTTGAAGAGGAAAGAATCATGTCTTGCTTCGCAACCTGTGGAAGTACGTGACAACCATGTGTTGGGTTAAAGCTGCAAAAAGGATGGACAATTTGTCTGGATTACACCCGTGCTGAATTTTGATTTTTATTTAAAATGTGCAAACTGACATGCAATACTTGCACAGAGCACGAGACAGAACATGAATCATTGCCTGAGGAATAACACATTCCAGCTCCACAATTAATGTGGGACTGCCTGAGAATGTGCAATCAGGAGTCCAAATCCGTTTCACTTACCCAGCCATGTGACTGACAGCATGTACTATTCAAGAACTCTGTGTATACCCAATGTTCAGGGAAACATTATGAGGAAATGGTATCATTTACACTTTCACACACACTCACACAGAGTCAGCATCCAACAAAAGAAGGCAAAAATGTAGTAAGTGTACACTTACTTACGCCGTACATACTGTATATATTGCACAGTAGTGAACAGCATGAAGATAAATCCTTCTCAAAAATCACTTTGAGATAAGCCAGCATTATACAAAGCAGAGAAAATGTATGAAGCCTCAGATCCACAGAGCAACACACAAGTAGAAGAAAGAAAGCCACTAACTGCACCACCAACAAAGAGCAACCACTACACCAGCTTCATAGTTCTAAAACCTCCAGCAAAGCAGAACTAAATCTGAAACACATCTACAGACATAAAAGAGATAAATAAACGATATCTCTTTACAGTTAGAGCTTCGCTTTATGGTGTTGATTGTATCAGATAAAGCTTCACAACAAAATTCAACCTAATAATCAAGTAAAGACACCACCACCATCACAGCAAATAAAGATCGAAATAGCAACATGAACAAAAGCCCAGTAAAGAAGGGCTAGAAGAGGCTGATTGTCCTAAGTGAAGGTAAAAGGTCACCTTTGTTTCAGTGTGAGAATCTCCACTTTCCTCTGGTGTTTCAGCTGTTTCACCATGGTGATTTGCCTCATGTCCCCCATTGTCTACACTGTCAGACATGTGTGAAGCCTCACTGGCACAGCATGTCACTACACTCTCGCTCTGAACGCTCTCATCCTCCTTCTGAACATCCTCGTCACTGTTTTCTGGATTTTCTTCAGCACTGTCAATATCAATGTCATACAGCACTTCATCTCCATCGTCTGATCCCTTACTGCTATCTACACTCTCCTGATTTACATCCTGACTCAAACTCCCCTCTGCTTTGTCAGCTTCACCGCAAACCATCTGAGGGTCCTCGGCGGAGGTCTTCCCCGATTCAGCCTCAAGACTAACTTCAGACATACCTGAAAACAGACAAATAGGAAGGTATGAATAGCTCCTAACAAGCTAGCTGACTGTTTATAGTGCACTAATACAGTACAATACAGGAGTCCACTACTAACCTACAATTTGCACTTGTATATTAATGCATTATTATCATTACATCCAAGCAAACATTTTTTTTATGAAAGAAATCCCTGACAATATATATAAAAAAAACATCGTGTTGTCGCATAACACTGCCGTTTAGAATGTATTTCCAAACTTCTCAAAGACTTTTCTAAGCATCTGAATGAAATCCCTGCTCATTTTGTATAAGGTCAATATAAACGTATTATTGTGACTGAAAGGCTACTCTAAATCGATGGGATTACAGCTGTTGTTACAATGCATGCTCTTTTTCACTCTGGAACACTATAACGTTACACAGGAACCGTGACTTTGCAAGGTTAGGTAAATTACCTGTTGCGCATCGTCACGTGACTTGCGAAGGCGTCCAAAAGTAATAGAACACTCTTTAATTAATGCTAACATAGGCACATCATGTAATGTAATGGTTATAGTGCATGGTAAAGACTAAGCGGACATCATCTATTTGGATAGCAAGCATTCAACAAACCTTTCTGTACTTTTACCTCCCAGTCAGTTAGCGCATCAAGCTATCCACTAATTTGACTTAACTGAATGTATCACTGCCGTTGACGTGTTGTAAGCTAATGTTAATGTAGCTAAACAGCAGATAACGCACATAACGAACTTATGATAAACTTAAATAACAGCACTTTAAATGGTTAACGTCATCTCACGGTTTCTCTAGATATGCAACTCAACACCATAAGAGAATGGGGGTGATGAAAACTTTAGCTAACATTAACGTTACCTGTCTGCGGCCGTGGCTAACTATTTAGCTGTGAACAGTTAGCCGTTGTAACCCTGTAACGTTAGTAGTTAAGTCACTGAAATCCTTGGTGCCGTGCCGCAGTGGATGTTTCTTTGAAAAGCGGTGCGCCTGAGGTTAATGCAAACGTTGCATAGATAAACTACCAATTTATCATCGGTGGTCTTCGTCTCTCTTCGAGCACATAGACTTCTTATTTGAACCCCGGAAAGACTACGCTGTCCAGGCCCTGTGCTGTCATCAGAAGCAGACCACATCATTTGCTGACTGCGCTCCCCCTCTGCTGTTAAAACATGATGTTTGCAGTTTGAGTCCTCAATGGGTCTGAAATAAGTTTATTACCCCCGATATATTACCTGGGATAATATATTTAGACCGATTTTAGGTAACGTTAAAACGCTACAATGAGCAGCAGGCTACTTTAGTGGCCAGGTATTCGACATTAACGTTTTTCTCTACTGCAACTACAATTTTCTGCCTTTTTATTTAGTAAGAAAATAATATGAAAAACAACATAAAACAAGAATCATAACGTTGCAAAAGATACACATAAGGGATATAACTGTACCTAGCGAGGGGGTTCAATAACAAAAGGAAAAAAATAAAAAAGTAATTCCATAAAAAAAGGATATCTCACAGAAAGACCTTCAAGCGAGTTACAGACATTAGGTATCTTCCGAGCCTTTCTGCTGAAGGAGATACGGTTTGTTTTAAAATAAAAGATAAATTTCTTTCTCAAGGATTTTAAAAAGGGTTTTTGTTTGTAAACTTGCATTTGTGTAACATTTGTGACATTTAGCCAGAACTCCAGTAACTAAACTAAGCGACAATGTGATAATTCACAATAAACTCAATTTCCCATAAGCCCCGGGATTGGGTGCGTACAGCTGCGTTGTGACGCAGTCTGAAGGCTGAAGCCTTGTTGAGACAGCCCAGCTAGAGGCCATATTGGAATCTATGAAGTCGGCTTGCACTTTGATGGAACGGAGTGTCTGTCGTTTTGGGAGTCTCTAAATCGCTATCCCGGATTTATACCCGAGTGATTGCGCCCGGCATTCCACTTGAGACCCTGCCACGTCTGGACGGCAAGTTGTCTCGCTTCTTTTGTGGAAAAATGAGTCCAACCGATGCTAAACGAGGGGCTAAACGCAGGAAGAACAAGCGGGGCGGTGGCAGTAGCTGCAGTGCTGTCTGCAATACCAGCGGTGGCAAGGCCGGGGTTGCCTCGGCCCTAGGCTGTGCGGGAACAGCAACACCTGCCTCTGTCGTAAGCTTTTTAACACCTGGCAGTACAGGCAACGGGAATATAGGGTCCATCATGGGCATAAACGGAGAGGTAAGAGTGTCACACAATGTGAACCGGTGGATGTCAAAACGGGGGCGACTAGCTAGCACTGTTATCAACGACACAAATCTGATTTGGGCCTGACACTGCTGCGAGGAAGGCAGCTAGCTAACTAACCTTTGCAACGTAGCTAGAAATTAACTGGCTTAACGTTAATTGCCACCACTGCTGGTTGTTATGCTTTGTGGAATACCTTGTCAGCTAGCAAGTCGTATAGCTGTGTAGTTCAAGAGGCCTTGTTATGTTGTAAGAAACTGCCGTAACGTAAACATCAGGCTACTTCTGCCTTGGCCAAACGCTGAGGCTATAATCGTTAGCTTAAGTTAAGAGATCGTAAGTTAGCTGAATCGACAACAATGTAGACATCACAAAGCATTATTTTGAGCTAATACAGTCCAGGTTGGTGGAGATTACATTGGCCAAGCCAAGATTATAAGGTGGAAATATAGGTTCAGCACAGTTTGCCCAAAGGCTGCTGTTAAACAGAAACATTATTGCTAGCTAAGTTAATGCTAACTGGGAAGAAAACTAACAACTTATATCCCTGTCGGGCCTCTCTCTGTTTTTACAACCTGACCTTCCACATTTCATGCTTAAAAAGGTTTGTTTGAGTTTAAATTGGTTAGATTTGCCAGAAATAAGAGAAACTATCTAAGAAACTTCAGTTATCCACTGTAGCTTAGCTACACACCTTAAGTTAGCACTTCAACAATAACTTAACATGGCACCATAAGATGTTTAGCTAGTTTAGGTTCAAACGATACTTCCTCACAAACATCACAAATGTAGCCTACAATTGTATAGTCGTTCTGCATGGCAGTGAAATGTGTCCCCTCTGTTTTTCTTTGTCTTTAACTCAGCAAATGTGCGTATGTTTATGATAGATCATGCACAAACAGCCAGCCTCCTAACAAATAAATTGCATTCTTCCTTGGATGTTATGACCTCTCCAACCAGACAAATCTTGCACATCATAACAATTACATCCTCTGTTCATCATGAGAAAATCATAGACTCAGAAAACTGCTGCATGATAAAATGTTTATAAACGTTTTGATAACAGTGTCTACTTATGATATGCAATAGTTTGTGTAATAAGGTGATAAGGTATTCATTTTTCAACACAGCTGTCCATCCACTATTGTTGTTGTATATAATTCCTGTGCGCAAATGATCTGCTATGAATGTTAATCAGTCAATTTTATGCAAATTGGCAAAAGAGCAAACAATACCTAAACTACTATTAGGGGCAAGTGGGAAAATGTTTTATTGTAATTTGGGTGAACTGACTCTTTAATTATGTTTATATAGTAGTCTACGTGCCTAGCCTGGACAGGCCTGTCTGTATTGCCTAACAATTATCTGCCTTGAATGTGCACCGCACACACATAGCTTGGAAACTCAGAAAGTATAGATCTGTACTTTACCTCATAAGTATTTGAAATGTGATGTTATAATTCTCCCACTCACCAAGTCAACCAGCCATAGGTCCTAAACAAAAAACTCTACGACAGTGCCCGACACTATAGACTGTCTTAAGTTTTACTAACTGTATTTGATCAAGCTCACGTGGTAAGTTGTCTGTTCTATATTTATGTTTGTGTCCCTCAGGTCAAAGTGAACAACAATGTTACACCACAGTTTACGGAAGGACCAGTTAATGCTGACTTCTCCGGAGTCCTTCAGGTAAACGTACATCAAGGTTTTCAGAAGTTCATCTAAGACTACTAAGACTCTCTAAATTTTAAACATTTAATGTCCAGAGTTACAAAACTAACAAATATCAAGCATATTCAATTTTGATGTGACTTGCTCCAAACACAGTTGTGCTCTCTGCAACAGCGTGACATCAAGATGCTCCTATATTTGTGTTCGTACACATCTGGAATGTGATTGGAGCCAGTCTCATCGTATTGCCACTGCCTGCCCTTGGTGATCAAAATTTCTTGGCAGCACAATTCTTTCCATCATTTTTTCACAGTAGTGATCTGGCACTGACACCTCAAATTCTGCTTTCTGTCAGCGTTTAGCTATATTTCAAGTGACTGTTGTCAAAAGTTTTTCTTGAAGGTAAAAATTTGGGCCTAAACCAAACTTTATATTGTCATATTCAATGATCTTGGCCAGACAGAAAAGCAGGTAAACGGGATATCCCAACATAATTTCTTAGAAATGTATTAACGTGCATTTCTGAACAAGTTTAAATATATTGTCCTGTGCCACCATAAGTACTCTAAATGGGCCAGGCAAAACTCTGTTGTTTGGTGACAAAGTCTCAAATTGCATACTTTTACAAAATTGATAGGGGGTATTGGTTTACTGCTGTGCTTTTTTGTGTAGTCAGAAAATGCCACTGTGGGTGAAGTTGAGTAACCCGGTGCACCAAACCGAACTACTAGTACATCTATACAGTGTTGGAGAAATGGATGCAAAGCAACGTTCTTTTTAAAATCCCAAAGGCTGTTTTGTTCTCTGACAAACACTTCTAATGTGGATATCACAGTTGAAACTTCTGGCTGCTAATTATGTGTCTGTACCTCTCTGTGGTTCACTCACTGACAAGGCTGTGCATTAAAAAAGGTTCCAATGTTTTAATTGAGTCCAGTGGGGCAGATTAGGCAGCTGGAGTACCAACAGTGCAATGGGTTACAAAGACATAGAGTGTGACACAACTTAATAAATAGCAGATATGCGCTATAGCAGACTTGTCAATCTTGGAGCCAATGTGGACAAACTAAAATTTTTTTTGCTAAAGTATAGAGTCAAATTTTGCACTATTTTTTGAGAAAGGGTTTAGTTTGACAGTCCACCTTGAAAGATATAGTTTTTTTTTTTTTTATCACACTTTAGCAAGTAACTGAAACGAACCACTATATATCTTTGTTGACCCTTTACAAATACAATTTACAAAATCAGTTTTTCTTTCAAAATACATGTGGTGTTTTAAACAGTTGTCATACAGTAACTTAATGCAAGTTCTAAATTGGTTGTGTTCCTCATGGTATATTTTTCTCTCTCTACTTGTTCTTGCTAACATACTCACCACAGACCCCATTCACGTTTGGCTTGAACCAGCGGGCTCCCTACACGGCCGGCGATCGCTGCCTCTTGTGCCGATGTGAGCGTAAAGACGGTGCCGTGCCTTCTGAGGCAGGGATCTCGGGCCAGAACGGTACGTCACAGCCCAACAAAACACCCAGTGCCATCCAGCTGCCTCTGTGGGTGTGCTCTGACTGCAGGCGCACAGTGGAGAAGGAGGACCGACACACTGCTCTGGAGCAGTCATTGGGGGTAAGTCACCTGCCTATAAAGAATTTTTTAACTGTGTGAAAAGGATGTTGGTGTTGCAAAAGAGATTCTACAGTTTTCAAACAATAATAGTAATAAATCAAGTGTATGCCTAACTTTCAGATTCTTTTTTTTATGCTTTGTAGAATTTCACATTTCATTTACAGTGCAGTTCAGTTCTTTGTCATTCAACCATGTAAAACATAGTTGCATGCCACATGCCACAGTGTTTAAGGAGAAGTTTACACATCAGAGCCTGACTGTAAATATCCTCTCAGGCCTATGTTGTGTGCCATGATGTCAAAGAATACTGCCTCTTCATATAAAGAGCTTTTTTATGTTAGATGGCCTGGGCACATGCTCAGCTTGTATCTTTGTAAGGACAACACCAACTAAAAAGTGGTAAAATCTTGTGATTCAACACAGCACTTTTGTTCACTGGAATACAAGGTCACTTTTCTTCCTCTGGGTTGTGTTTAGAAGGCTTTGGTTATTGGTTGTAATTAATGAGGCTGACTATTAACTCTTTACTACACGCTGAATTTAAAAAGGAGGGGACTCACCTTTATTCAGGGTACCCACGGGGTCTTAAAAGTATTTAAAAAGTCTTAAATT